TGTGTCACGAGATTTTTTCAGAATGCCAAATATGCCCAATTTTGCAGACATCCTCCAGAAAAAGTCAAAATAGAAGCAAATTTTTGGTATGTCTAGAAAAAAAATTTGACTAAAACTTTTGTCGTCAAGCTGAAAAGTTTGGAAGACACTCCACTGGAAACTGAACACCATTCCATTTATTCTCACATTTCCATCTACATCCATTTATTTTTAAAAAGCAAGTGGTTCCAAAATAGGATTTTCATCATCATCATGCTGGAAAAAAAATTGTTAACATTCAAACGTTTTCAACAGCATAATAAACAAATATACACGATGCCCATCACATCCACCGGACCTGACGAATTTCGCCATTAAAAAAAATAAAAAATGAATTATTTTCATTTCAGCAGTGCCAACGCAAGAGAGAAAATATGAGTTGCATAAATGAAATTGCGATGAAAATTGTCAGTCACGTTTTTGTAAAGTTACTTACATTTTCTTATTATAAATGCCTTAATGCGTTTTATAAGAGCTTCTTAACCATCTTTTACAGTGTATTTTCATAAGGCAACGAAAAACCTTTATTGCTCCCGCTTGCGTCGTAAAGGATAAAGAAGTATTATTAATAATTTTAATTCTAAAAGTTCAAGGCACTTGCAGAGAGCTTCAATTGCTTCTTATTTCTCTTCTATTATAATTATATGGAATGAGAATTGAACTTTCTTATAATGTCCCTGAGACGTGTCATTATCCACGTAAATATCGTTGTTATAGCAATATTCTCTTATGTACATACTTATTATATTTTTCTAAAAGCTATGAATTTCAAATATTGGCATCTTTACAAAGATTGTAACTTGATCGATGTAGCATATGATGCTATGACAACTCGTTCATATAAAATTCAATATGTAATGAGCTTTTCGAAATTTATTGTGAATAGCTCTCTTTAATGCTATTGATCTAATTAAGAAGGTAATGACATTAAAGTAATTGGAGCTTGTTTTTCAGCATTCTATCTTGAGATGAGATATCATTATGGATAATTTAATTGCAATTGATTGCATGAAGTTTGGTTTGTATGAAATAATTAGTTGTAATGTAGATGACTGTCATTTTCAGACATCTGCTTAGCAATTGAAATAGCAACTCTATTAATTTAATGCTAAATTGTTAGAAAGTAATGTTGGTGAGATAAAATTAAAGTTTTTTTGACATGTTTCTTAAAAAATTGTAAAAAAATCAATAATAGTTCAATTGAGTTACATATATTTCCTTTTTCCTTTGATGAGGTGTATAGGGGCACATTGCTGCGTTCAGAGATCGTCTAAGGATATTAATGACTCTAGCGTCCGTATCAACAGATTTCTTTATCTCCATAAAATCTGCAACAGGTACTCTTAGTACTGGGGCATCTTGTGTACGTCTAAACAGATGTCCAGCACATCTCAAGCGATTTACACGGAGAACTGTAATAATATATTCGGTCTGCTTCACTAAAATGGATTATCCTCGATTTCCGATTATCCACTTGAGTTTTTTGGAAATATCTTCAAACGCTTAAGGTTATTAAAAGATCTAATGTGTGATCTAGTTAGAGTACTTTGCTCTTTAAATTAACATATACTTGGAATTTTTATATCTTCATTACTTTGATAATTATAGCAAAAATCGAAGTTAATCTACTAGACTTGGCTAGAAAATTGAATAATTATTACTTCATAACGAAAAGTAAAAGTTTAAAGTATACAGAAATTTCAGGCATAGTTCACTCTATTATAATTCAAAATTAGAAATAAAATAAACACAATAAAGTAAACACAAAAGTTGAATCCAACAAGAATAAATTATAGCTTAAAAAATTACACAACATTCTCGAAGCCTGACATGTACATCACCATGCTTTCAGAATCTCCTATTTGCAAAATTATCGGATATAAGTCACCACAATGTGAGAGGATCTCGTTATGATAATTGGAAATCCGAAGCAATTTAAAGAATATTAATCAAAAAAAAAATACTTCGCAATTTAAATAAAAAATATTTTTTATTCATAAGTCGCTTTAATTGAAATCGGATCAAGAACACTCGAATGCGTGTGGTAAGACGCAATATATGACATACAATAAAGACTAGTAAAATCTGTATGAATGGATAATATGAATCACAATATGTATCGATGACATCCACTCATCCCAATAATAATGATAATGGATGCTTTACATATATTTCAATTTTTTTTTTCATCATCATATATTTTCAAGGATACATATGGCAGTAAATACTTACTTACATCCTCACTTACTGTACATAGTATTGAAAGCTTTTACCTACTTATAGTGATCTCAAAAATGAGAACAAGCACTCGATATCATCAATGCATAATGCCATATTGGAACTACATCTTACATACGTAATATTATTAGATGTGAAGTGGATTAACATTCGTAGGGTGTTATGCTCTTAAAAACATAAGGAAGGAGTCATGTACAATCGAGAGATGTTCTTTGGATGAAGATGAAATTGAATGATAGATTTTGCATCTATTCAACTATCTTACATGCATGCATTAAAGCTTCTTATTCTTATTAACTATCAAGTTTCTCTTCAATTTACTGCTTAAATGGAATTTTCTCTCTGACTAGATTTTATTGAGCTTCTTTTATCAAGGCAACATTTATTATGTTAATTTATGTGAACTTTGTTATCATAATCCATATTGAACGTGTTTATTATCTTCAAATTTATGCAAATTTCGACATGATAGTATTCTGCAGGGCTTCTCGACCTTAATATAATTTATTTAAATTTTTTTCACTGTATTAAAAGTTATGTTTGAAAATTTCTCAATGGTAAGGAATTGTAGTTGAAAATTATTAATTTTTTGGCATAGATGGAACATTTTGTAAATGATTAAGAACCTCCTTACAGTGCTCGATCCTTGAATACTGAAAATTAATTAATATGAATCACCCAAATCAAAAACATTGAAATTAATAATAATCATCAACATCACTTGTACCTCTAAATGCTTTTTTTAAATTAAAAATACAATCATGTATGCTTAAAATTACGGTTTGATGACCGAAAAACTGGTGATTTATTGAAAATGAATTTTAATTATTCATGATTTATTAGAATTTAATTAACATAAATTTTGGATATTGGAACAAAAATGAATAAATGCATTATTTTTAGATCATATTTTAAGCTATTGATTTATTAAATGTGGCTTTTAAATATGTTTAAATAATATTTTTCAACAAAAATTTTAAATAATTTAGCTTTAACTTTTCAAGCTCATTCCAAAAAATCAGGCTTGATTCTTAAAAAATTTAGACGAGCGGAGACGAGCAATTTTCAAGAGCCTAGTCTCGTATAAATTTTATATTGGGGCATATAAATTCATGTCCTCAAACAAAGAAGATCCAAAGCTACGTAGAAGCTGGAAGCAGTTATTGAAAGTTAAACGAATGATCACTTGCCAGATCACTGTACTCAAACCCAGGAGGAAAACCACTTGATGGGTAAAAAAAGGAAAATTTTCATTAAAAAAGGTAAAAATGGGAAAAAGGTAAAATTCTCATTTTTTCCATTTTTTACCATTTTTCCCACTTTATGATAAGAATTTTTCCACAAAAAAATTGTAAATTTCTCATCAAAATTTTAACCATCCAAGTAGTTTTCCCCCTGCTTAAACCTCGACCTACAGTTTTTATAGGGGGGTGCAAACCACTCCTTTAATGACATTCGTACCTGAAGCCTAAAAAAGAATACTGTAAGCTTCATTTTTTGTCTTTTTGTTTCGAAAAGTATTTTTCAAATCCAATCTTGAACCAATTGAACAAACTATGTCGATATTGCAATTATTAGAGACTTAAACATTCCACATCTGAGCCACTTCAGCTCACAATGACTGTTAATTACCAGAAATGAGAGAACAGAACCTGGAAACAAAATTCGGGTTATAATAAAATAAATATAAAATCATCTGAAACGAGAGTAATTCAAAAATTATATTAAATGTAATGATTTTGCGTTTATTCTGATTTGATTATCTAGCACAGTGATAATCATCTAGCTAGTCATGCGTTTCCAAGTGCACAAAATCCCATTTTTTTTTTGTGCAAAATTCTGATTAATTTCTTATTTATTTGCATCTTAAATTCTCTTGGCTCACAATTTCAAACAGCAAATGAATAAAAAATGAGAAGAACTTTCTAAACTTGATAAATTGATTCGATATGCATTAAACAACCTCAATAATTCCTCCTAACAGATGAGAGAAAAAAAAAAGCATTTTAAGTTCAGAAGAATAAAATTAATTTTCTTTTGCTCTCCTTCTGTACATCTCCTTGTGTATCATCTGTAAACTAAAATAAGAACAAAAGGAATAAACAAAAACAAACCAGCAATTTGTGTCACTCTTAATTAAAATTCAATTTTTCATCTTCACTAGAAAGCGACAAAGAATTTCATATTGAAATAATGGACCGAAGTGAATTTTAAATTCTATTTATATTTACATGTATTCCTCGCTGTCCCGTTTGATTAACTAAGCAACTGTTTCTGCCTCGAATGAAAACTTTCATCTCTTATTGCATGTCCCTCCATATCATTTACACACAAATTTAATTCTTTTTTATTTCTGTCGAACAAAACACAAAAAGGAAAAGAAAGAAAGAAGAAGTTGATCGAGTAGCGGCTGTGTACTTGATTTATATTGTAAAATATTTTAATCTTATTCATCCGATTTATATAAAATGATCATGTTCTGATCAACCAACAGTCAGATTATCTTCAGCTCTTTATCGAACAACAAGTCGGTAAAAGTTCTTTAGTGCTTAAAAAAATATTAAGTGAAAAAAATTAAAAACTGAAGAATTTTGTTTTTTTTTGGAAAAAAGAATTAAGTGTAAAAAAATAATTTTTAGTGCCAAAAAAATCAGAAAAAGAAAAATATCGAAAAAATGTATAATTCAATGTTTTTATTGTTCAGTTCCAATACAATTTATATAATGCTGACATGCATCATCTTAACAATCGTTTTAATCGCCAATGATTTAAATGTGAAGCAATTGAAAAAGAAATTATCGTTGAGGAGTCAATTGAAATCGAAATTGAGTCAATTGAGCTTCTTCCATGGCAACAACGGCACCAATGAGAATAATAATGAAATTATTTACGAAAGACAGGCGCCAGGACCAAAACGTAAATTTATTATTGGCAATCTTGATGTACTTGATGGCTATGAAATTCCATATCAAGCATTCAGTGACTTAGCTGAGAAATATGGCAATGTTATAAAACTACAAATGGGAAATGTACCCAGTTTAGTGATAAATGGTGTGGAAAATATTAAGGAAGTTCTGATTTATAAAGGCCACCATTTTGATTCACGTCCCAATTTCAAGCGTTTCCAGATGTTATTCGATGGAAATAAGGAGAATTGTAAGTTTTCACGTACATTAATTCATATTTTCCTACTGCTGCCGCTGCTGTTGCAATTTGTTTATTAAATTAAAAATTATTCTCCTTTGAAACGTTTAGCATTGGCATTTTGTGACTGGTCGGATATGCAGAAAGTAAGACGTGACATGCTCTCAACTCACACATTTCCACGAAAATTCTCCATGAGCTTCAATCGCCTCAATGATATTACAATTGAAAATTATCATCAGCTCTCGTCTGAAATACGATGCGATATTGCAAATGAAAAAAGCACATCCATCAAGCCAATTGTAATGGAGGCATGCGGAAATATTTTTACAGAATATTTTACATCACGCAATTTTGACCGAAATGATAAAAGCTATCAAACCTTGCTCAGGAATTTTGATAAAATCTTCTGGTAAGTTTTTAAAAAAAAATCTTGAATTTTTTTAAAATTGAATTAATTTATTTTTTTGAATTCTTTTAAACAGGGAAGTAAACCAAGGATCTGCCGCTGATTTTCTTCCATTCTTATTACCATTTCAATACAAAAACATGAAAAAAATGGAACAATGGTCTCACGAAATTCGTCAATTCATTTTGCACAACATCATAACAGATCGATACTCAACATGGAATATTGGCAATGAGCCAAATGATTATATTGAGTCACTTATTGATCACGTGAAGCAAAAACTTGAACCACGAATGGAATGGGAAACGGTAAGTCAATTTTTGTCTGGTCTTGAATTTTCAACCCACTTTATTTTGGATATTCATCATACTTGATGAAATTAAACCTCTAGTAAAACAAATAAGGAACTTTTTAAATTTTTCACAGGCATTATTCGCATTGGAAGACATAATTGGCGGACACTCAGCAGTAGCGAATTTCGTATGCAAAACTCTCGCATTTATCGCAAAAGATAAGGAAATCCAGAAGAATATACAATCGGAAGTAGATAATTTGTTGAATGAGCGTAGTGAAAAGTCAGTTTTGATAGGAGATCGCAATAAATTAATTTACACGGAGGCTACTATAATGGAATCATTGAGACTCATCACATCTCCGATAGTACCACACGTTGCTTCACAAGACAGTTCCATTGATGGTGAGTTTGATTTATTGCGGAATGCTTTTAATGGATTTTTAATGTGAGCATTTTTCTTTCCTTTCGTTTCCTTTTATTTTTTCTCATGGCGCAGGTTATACAGTTAAAGCCGGCACATTAATTTTCCTCAACAATTACGATTTAAATATGTCAGAGACGCTATGGGAAGCCCCAAAAAAATTTGAGCCAAAACGATTCCTTTCGAACGGTAGACTTATTAAGCCAGATCATTTCATACCGTTCGGTGTTGGAAGACGATCATGTATGGGATACAAATTGGTTCAATTTCTAACCTTCGCAATAGTTGGTAATTTATTGAAGGAGTTCGACATTAGTACTGTTAACGGTGAGGATATTAAAGTGACAGTTGGCTCACTTGCAATACCAGAAAATCCATATCAACTTGTATTCGCCCCAAGACATTAAGTACATATCTATCTTATTGAATGTACTCTTAGTTTAGATAAAAATTGAGTTGAAATCAATAGATGGATACTCTATGCTAGACAAATAAGTAATCTAAATGAAGTGTTGGTAGTAGCATAAAAAGAAAAAAAGTCGAAGAAGAATGAAACTGAAAGATTAATGGACTATTAGTTGATACACTAGAAACATCCTCATTGCCTTTAAGAAAATTGAAATTGAAATTAATTGAATGTTCATCAGAATCAACGGAAGATATGTGTCGATTTTGGTGCTTGTAGAAAGAATGAAAGAAGCAAATATATTGAAAGGAAATTTATTGTTGCTTTCGACAAACAATAAGACTCTTCTTTTCTCTGAACTTTTTTTTTTCATTCTTTCCTCCTCATTTTCAATCAGTAGACGATAAGGAAAAATAAGGTTATTTATGGTATTAATCGAGAAAATAATGGAGAAACTTTTGGTATTCATTATAATTAAAGAGATGCTTGTCTTTCTGTGGTTGGGATGTTCAATCAAACTTATTGATTTTTTTAAGGAGATTTTCTTGTTAAATTGAGAGGTTTATTGAATTTTCTGATGGCTAGACTAGAGCATGCTGAAAAATTTCTTATTTTAAATTGTCAAATGTTCACAAATGGGCAAATTCACATTCTCTAATTTTCTGTGCTATAAATAATTGCCGAAAATTCAAATACAAAACCACAAGCTCTAGTAACTTAACACATATTCTCTCCCTGATAATCCTTTAATACAACAATAATTTTAAATTTTAATCTCTTTTAATTACATCTAAATTGTCCCAATTTTTATTAATTTAAGTTCATGATGAACATTCAATCGAAATTTAAATACTTCCAAAAAATAATTTGATGTCATACTATAATGAAAAAGCTACTACCCGGAAACCTAATATCTAACATTTCCATTCTAGACAAATTTATTTTTTCCCTATAAAGATATCGTATATTTTTATTATATAAAACAAGATATCTGGTATGTGGAAGCATAAAAATGAAACTATTTGTTAATTGAAGCATGAAAATTCATGACAATGAAGCATAAAACTTCAATATATACATCCGCATACATAAATTGCATCATTCTAAAAAAAAGATGTATTGACTGATAATTTAATCTCGTTTTATATTCATACGTTTATAAATATAAACTTTTATATGAAAAAAAATACATATATCCTCAGACAGAATGAAAAAAGCTTTTGTTAATTGAAAAAAAAAAGCTGAGTGAATGGGAAAAGAGGGAATTTTTTTATGTCAATATGAGCATTAATTCTGTCATATTTTTTTATTATTATTATTACGTTTTTTTTTAACTATTGTTTGTTTATTTAGTGCCAAAGACCATTCCATGGTTAATAATTAATTTATAAGTTTGAGAGCTACATACCCCCATCATTGTGTTATAAATAATAATATTAATTTTACATAATACACATAAACATACATTTACACATTATATCCATCTTTTATACTTTTATTTGCTTCATAAAATTTATTATTATTATTATATATTTTTTTTATTTTCAATTACTCCTATATCTCATTGTAAAGTATATATTATTATTATTATTATTATATCACGCAAAAAGTATAATGAAATAAAATTTTTCAATTGTTCAAAAAACCGAAATTAAAAATTACCTCTTTTTATAATTAATTTTATGCCATTTTAATGTTTCACACATGCAAGGTTGATGGAAAGCTTATGCCTTAAAATCGATATGTTCTCATTTTGACTAAATAGCACACAACATTTGGCTTAGTGACTGTGTCTCATGCACAAAAGATTCTGGATCAAACAGAATATTAAGTTGTCAGCGATAACAATAAGCTAGTGCTAGAAGATAAAGCTAGTAACTTAGATTAATGTTTAGCCAGAATGGTACAAGTCGCTTAATCGATCAGAAATTTGGAACTTATACGGTGTGACTCTGGCATGGTGCTGGATTTAAATAGAAGCTAGCACGATGCCAGTGTCATACCAGCTTCACGCAGGATTTCAATTCGATTAACCGACTTTTCCTATTGGAGTAAGATTGGTCAAAATAATGTGGATTGATGCAACTTAACAATTTAAAAATAGAAATTCTCTTAAAAATCCATTGTCAAATCGTAAATGCGTCAAAAACCTCTCAACCTTCTCATCCTCCTCACTTATTCAGTTATATTTCAAGATACCATTTAATGACAGCAAGGCAAAATTTATTCATCGATACATTTAATTGTATTCTGATTTAAATTAAACAGTGATAAGCATTTTCGTGACAGGAGACTTGAAAATAATTAATTCATAATAAATTTCCATACACATTGCAATAAATTATTGAACCAATTATATCAACAGCACTAATGTTATGACTGAAATGCAAATGAGTTGAAATTTTTTCCAAAAGGCTTTAAATTTCTTTTTTGACTCACTATGGCAGTGATTAAAATCCAGAAACTTTTTTATTTGTTTCGGGAAAAAAAATAATTTTGAATATAAACAAAAATGCTTGAAATGAAAATTAACTTTCATAACTCAGCATGCATCTCAGCATTTTTTCCGCTGTTTCCTCAAAGGAGTTGAATTCTTTTTTCAAATAAAAGAGAAATAAAGTAAGTAGAAAACTAAGTTTGAATTTTGACGCTTTTTTTTGAATTGTTATAATATTTTTAAAATAATATTTGAAATGTTTTTTTTTTTTTTTTTTTAAAAGAAATGATTTAAATCATTAGGATTTCAAGCTTTTCAATGAAGCTGATATCGTCCGGCGAATCAAAGTCAACAGGCTCCGTTGGGCTGGACATGTCATTAGGAGACCTGTCGAAGCTCCCATTAATAAAGTCTTTAAGAATGATTTTGTAGATGGCAAAAGATCACGCAGGCGACCCAAGAACTCTTGGAAAGAAGCTGTTGACAGAGACAGTATTAAATTTGGTATGGGTAATTGGCAAACGGAAGCGAGCGACAGAATCAGCTTCCAGCTCAAAAGGCTGGGCACTTTAAATTAAAGTAGAGTATCACGAGTAACCCTAGAAATCGGCATAAGCAGTAATTTTCTAATGCACATAAACTTAAAGCTGCCAATCAATTCAAAGCTAGTCGGTCATCGAACAGTAAACATTAAATAAAACAACTCGCCCTAACACATTTTAAAAACAAGCTAAAAACATTTGCATGCACATTTATCAAATATTAAAATTCATAAACGTGAAAATAAATTGTATATATAAGCCAAGCACATGAAACGAGTAGAAGAAAAATTAATAAAAAATTATTCATCCTGAAATTCACTACATATGTATCTTCATGTATGCGAAAGTCATGTGCATTGTAGTGCACAAAAAACAGCATATTCATAATAAAACTACTCACTTTGTTTTTTCACGCGGATTTTTGGATAAAGTGATGTGAGCAATTGTTTGCGCACTGTCTACATTGTCTAGATTGCATATATCAATAAATGATTGATTTATTTGGAAATTTATTTCATTGCTTTTAATTGCTAGCTCGGATGGTTTTTGGATGGAATAGAAAGGATTTAAACAACATGTTTGAATTTATTCATGAATCTCCTTTATTTAATATTTGGTTTTCATTAGCCAATCCATAGCGCATTAATATTTTTAAACTTTTCCTCGTTCTCATGATGAAAACCTTTTTTTTTGTGCTCTCATTCAGTCATTTGTTTTCAAAGTTTGTAGTTTTTTTCTACACATTCCAGTCGTATTTTCCTATTTTATTTTTGATGAACAATTCATAATAAAATCTCTCTTGAGGTTGTATTGACATTGTGTCTGAAATTTGACTACTATTGTATTTGCCTTTACTTGTTCTATTTCAATTGCAGCGAAAAGTTGATTTTTTTTTATCGAATAAATAAAATTTATTGTTTTTATTGAGCTTCCTTTATACATAAAGAATGAGCAGTAGACAATCTTTGAACATTATTTTCGATCATAAATTTCAATTTTAGAGGTTCAGGATATCCAAATAAATGTCATATATATTAATTTGTAGCCTCATAGGACTTATCCAAATCTACTTTATGAAACGTGAAAATTATGTTAACATAAAGCATTTGATGCTCAATTAATTGCATAATTGTAAACTTATTACGATATCTCATTAAAGGATAATTACTATGACATTATACATAGTTGCAAATAGCTATAGGAAGCTTCTCATAATTACAGCCAATTAATGGTATTTAATTACAATCAGATTGTGACGGATTGTTTTTTTTTTGCGTCTGATTGGAATGAGATTTTGTTCAGTTTGTCGGTTCTCTGGTACTCTTAAAGTCACCAGTTTGAAGTCTTAATCTTGTAAATAAAAAAGTTGAAATATTATTTTTAAACTTAACAGGTTTTTTTTAATTCTCAAAATTTGATCTGCAAGTTCTATTAAATTTTATATATTCATCCTAAAGACCTATATGCATCAAGGCATGGACACGAAAAAATTCTTCATTCAGAAAAATGACGAAAATTCATCCGAATTCATCTGGAACAGAAGATTCTTGGGATCTGGTTTCATCAAGAACAAAAGGATTATTGATCCGTTGTCCATGCCTTGATATGCAAAGCGAATGCAGAGGGATTGGTCCAAAATTCTTTCATTTGTTCATGATTGCGGAACTGATAATTTATATTTTGATCATTTTTGGTGATTTTGCTGATTTTGGAACATTTTTGATTATTCTTGAACATTTGATCATCCTCATTTTGGATCTTTTTATGTCAAGATATTTGAAAATATCCCTCAGATCAATATTCCAATATCCCCTGAAATTATTAATTTGCAAAAATGCACCGCAACGCTACTCAAATCAAAGTCCTTCCTATACTTTTTTAATTTTGTTTAATTTCATTAATATCTGCATCACCTAAGGCTTCCAAATGTTCAATATTTTTATGCAACATTCGAGAAAAAAGGTAATAATTGTCAATGCGGTAAAATGTACGAAAATTTATCCTTGAGCACATTTACATGCT